TTCGAGTCCATAGTGGTAGAGGTTTAATGAATAGGAAAGACTTTGATTCACTTACTTTTAGAGTAGCATGAGTCCTCATTCATATAAGACTCAGGATCTTAAGTGAATTAGGATAAAGATAGAAATAGGAAGTAGACGTACTAGAATCTGAGTAAGACTTTGGGCCCTTAGTAGTTAACATGGGTCGGATCCTTGGTGGCTTGATGATAAGGCCCAACTTGGATGGCCCAGCTTAGAAGATGTATTGGGCTCATGACACGGATCTCACAGTAGGCCCAACCAAAATTGGGCCACTCCCTAGGTTAATAATAGATGTCTCATGCTTTGGGCCTGGTAAAGCCCAAGGCAATATTTTGGCCCATACAATTACCTCATCGACTAATTTGGTATCTACAATCCATTAGTTCAATTCAATTACCGGGTTTACCCCAATGGGCTGCATTTCGCTAAGTGTAAGTTTACCAGCTGTGATAATAGCTACTGCAGCAATTACTCCAATCTTTATAGTATTCTATTAGGATCGAGTTTCACTGTATAATTTACAAGATAAAACTATGGATTATATTGGTTGGATATCTAAAGGAGTTAATGACAATAATCTCCTTTATGTATGAAAGAATAACAAAATTTCTTTTGAGGTTTTCGAAATAACGGAAATATTAACGAAATATTAGTGAGTCGTTTAATTTTTACATTGTTATGAGTTAATAAATATTATTAATTTTAGCATCTAAAACTCAAAGACATGAGAATTTTTGTTATTTCCGAAATTTTAGGAGGATTTTGTTGTTATATCATATCTCACGGGGATTAATGTCACGAACTCTATCTACAATAACAATATACTTATCATTAGGATTCCATTAGGATAAAGTTTAGGATTAAAGATAGTTGGGTTAGTCGGAAAGTGAAATCCTAAAGAGAAAAATTGTTGTTCTATGACAAACTCTGTTTTGATGTAGAACGAAATCATTGGAACAGAGCTCTTAACCTTTTTTACAAATTATAACAACACGAGAATTTTTATTATTTCCGAAACAATTTAGTGCAAATTCGATGGTTCGATATATTTCAGTTTCACCCTGGGGTGGATCCAGGCCCACCCTCAATTTTTTTTTTAAACACTAATATGTATAATTTCTAGATTTGGGCTCATTCTAACAAAAACATTAATAGATAAAAATATTTATGTGTAATTAGTTTTTATTTTGGTCCACCCTTACATAAATTTCTAGATCCGCTACTGGTTTCACCTTTAATGAAAATTGTTTAGGACTATAAGGGCACTTAGCCAACAAAACGAAAACTAAAAAGCAATGCGGTATAGTATCTAAAAATGTGATTTACACTTCATGGCTCAGTAGTACTTCTGTCTCGCTCTCTCATGCTAACATTGGTAATTCTACATAGTGCGGCAGCAATGAGCTGAAACGTTTGTGGCACTAGCGGTGAAAGGATTATCATTTTCACCTGGAGTTATCTCGGCCCCAGGTCGGAAAAGAGAGGAATCAATTGTCGTCTCTCCAGCATCAGCATCCCACAGTATCCACTTAAGTTCAAAGTTCATCGGATCTATATCTTCGATTCTTCGAACCGGCAAAATCTCTGGGATATCTGAGACTGACTCTTCACCTCCAATTTCTGTTTCATCTTCAGTCTCCTCTATCGTTGGGAGTTGCCTCCTGCCTCGTCTGTGTCGAATTGCTGTTCCTTGCCGTGGCTTTTTTCCGGGCATCTTTTGAACTTTAGCATCCTTTGTCCCTGATATTCCCTGCAGTGGCTCTTTCCCAGTTCTAGAGCTTGATGACCCTCCAGCTTCAGATGAACTTCCAGGTTCATCTTCTTCAATAACAATTCGCTTATATATGCACATTTCAGTAGTCTTTTTCGTGCAAGCATTCAATTCCTCCTGAAACAACATTGACATTTTAGTTCTGACTAACCCAAGACCAAACATTAAGATATCAATGGCCTTGAAAAGACTATTTAATTACCTCATGGACAAATTTTAAACCCAAAAGAAACTTGTAGCAATTATAGTACATGTCGTTCTCCTTATACTTAAGTTTGCAAGCTGAAAGAATAGCAGCTGCTGCAATTACTGAAGGCCTGAACTTTGTAAATTCAATGTCTATCATAAAAATTCGGAAACTAAGATCAGATATTGTTTACAGAAAGAAGTTTAACCAAAAACTCAATCAAAATCAAAAACTTACCCCCTTGTGCTTGGATTACGATCTCATTCAGGGTTCGCTGTTTGATACGACGTGCCTCCGGAATCATTCGAACAAACATATTAACAAAGCAGATAGCTGTTACAGCGCGCGTTTTCCAATCAATTCCACTGATTATCGCTAGTTCCATTCGGAGTATAACAATCTCATGCTCAATCATACGTGTTCTTTTCTTTTAAGAGATAAAATGTAGACAGAAGCAAATTAGAGAAACAAACAGTAATAGTGAATGAAATACGCTCAAATTACATACTAATTTACCAGAAAATCGAGGGGTCTGAAGGTGCTATCTCTCATTTCATAAGCAATCTTTAAGCAACTGTTGGCAATAAGAACCACCTCTTCTCGCAAATCTCTTAGCAGATTCTGATTGAACAAATTGACATTAATGAAGAATGTATATGGAAAATCTGAGTCATAAAAGTTATGGGGTTTTAAAGTTGTATTACCGGAAGTGGGTTGTGTGAAATGAAGCAGTCAAAGTAAATCAAAGCAAGATATGGTACGAACGCATCATAATTGTCCCATCGAGAGTTCTGCATGCAACATAATATACTCTGAAGTCTCAGGAATCTATCAAAGACAGTTAATTCTGTGAAAGAAAAGATTAAAAAAACATATAATTGTGGGAAAGATAAGATAACAAACATTGAGTTTGATCATTTATTTCGTTTTTTTGTCGTTTTTATCATTTTCTCAAAAGGCCAGAAACTCACATGAAAACAAAAGAAAAATCTTCATTTTCCCCCTCATTTCTATCATTTTCTATGAAGGCAAACAAGGGTTTATAAGTTCAAGAATCCAGAAGAAACTCAAATAAAGCAAATGACTTGCAACAGAACGAAACAAATGATTAGTAGTTCACAGTTCTTTCATTTACTTGGACTCTCTATCATTTTCTCAGTAGGTTAACAAGGGTTTGCATGTTCGTTTCACAAAAAACCATGGAAAACAATAAGACAGAATCAAGAAACCTTGATGGAATCAATAATTCACAAGGAAGAAATTCCAAAGAACAAAAACAAAACAGGAGTTAATAGTACAATTCTTTCCCCTTTTTTTTTTTCTCTCTTCAATTCTATCATTTTCCCAAGGATTTAGAAGTTGAAGAATCCAGAAAATTTGGCTTTATAAAGAAACTGACACACAACAGAACAAAACAAATTAATTAGTAGTTCAGTTCGTTCTTTTTCTTGGACTTTTTATCATTTTTTGTAATAAAGAACTGAAAGCTTTTACTCTCTTTTTTTCTTGGCAACGAAACTAGATATCATGCATATCTTTCATTTTCTTTCAATCTTACCTTGTATTCTCGTCAACCAAACAAAACCACAAAGTTATATTTTAAAGTCATTTTCCAGGAAACCAAACAGAAACAAGAAAACAAGAACCTCATTAGCACACTTACTTCCAAGATCACTCTAACAGCTATCTTTCTGAGAGTCGCTTCTTTACTCGTAGCATAACCCTCAGCCGCCATGGATTCGTTTTCAACATTTAAGTAACTCTCAAAAGCATTTTGTTCTTGGTAAACAGGCACCGGATTAAGTGGGTCGTAAATTCTCAGAGCCATTTTTTTTCCAAAAAAAATTTAAAGAAAATAAGAAAGAATTCTCTTAATCTATTCTCGTAACAATTTTCTCCTTGTATAATAATAATAATTCTCCGATAAATCATATACTAATACCCTGTCCTAATAGAATACTGACCTTATCTAAATAAATCAAGCAACTAAAATAAATGGCCCAAGAAAATTAGAGAACTGAACTACTAATTCATTTGTTTTATTCCATTTATTTCAAGTTTGTTAGTTTTTGATAAATTCGTGAGACTTAAAAGATTATCTTATGTTGATTGCACAACTCTCAATGTGACAATTTTGATCGTTCGTACCATATCTTGCTTTAATTTCAAAGAACCCATGATTTTAAGAGTTGGATTTTTCACATACTTTGTTTGTTAATGTTAACTGTTGCTTAATGTGCTAGAATCTTCAGGTCCTTGAATTTGTGGTAAAATCAATATGAGTGTATTTCATTTACTATTACTGTTTGTTTCTTGAAAGATTGAAGTTGTTAAAAGGCAAAAACGGATATGATTGTGGAACTTGAGATTCTCAATGGACTTGACTGGAAAAAGCGTGTTGTGCGCGCTACAAGATGGTAATCCAAACTCAAGGGAGTAACTTCTGATTTTGATTGAGTTTTGGTTAAGCTACCTACTCTAAACAATATCTGAGACATTATATTTACAAAGTTCAGTTATTGCAAAATGTACACAGAAAATCGAATTGTTATGAAGAAGATGAACAGAGGCCTCCTAGAGCCCCGTGACGTTAGGGTCATCAAGCGGAAAATGACATCCTGATGGAGACAAATTGTTAATCTATATAAATTAGGGGAAAATGTAATTTAATTTAATTGTTAAAATTACTTTTAATGAATGGGAAATAACATTCTCCACCCATGATATTTTGTAAATAGCATTTTCCCCTACAATTTTGGAATATATATCTCCATATGACGTTAGCAAGATGAGCAGAGGACTTGAGAAGATGGGAGTATATGACAATATTCAATGGTGTTTCCCTTTCTGACTTGTCTTGTAATGTTTCCTCAGTATGCCATTCATGGCAATTTTGCTGCTGGCGGAAGATTTTCTGGGAAATTAATGAGCTTAATTTGAGTTATATAAGGGGTGCTCTTGGAATTGTCAAGTCAACAACTTTAAAACCTTCCAACATGTTTTGACAAGATTCAAACACGAGAAAACTACAATCACACGGATATAAAACTAATGCTACTGCTAAACAGTATACTGGAGGATAATGATGCAAATGAAGTACCCACGCAATCTTGTGCTTCTACTGAATGAATTAGAGAGAATCATAGCTTCAGCTTAGATATTTTTGATCAAGAGAGTACTTTCGTGCCGATACATCTTGAATCTCAGACAAGATCTTTATGTAATTGTTTCTTTGTCTCTTTCTTTAGTGAAATTTGATGGTTGTACGAGTGATAATTTATTTGCTTTTTCAACTACATAAAAACATCAACTGGTCATCAGCAAGCATTAAGATATAAGAGGTGAATATGAGCTAACATGATGTAAATATTTACTACAATAGAATGAACAATGTATGTTGAGAAAAGGAAGATGAAACTGACACTGGATTACCTGAAGCAGGGGCCCTTCGAGCTGGAAAACTAGCTAATTTGTGTAAATATAGCCCACGAATGAAGTTCCATCCATGGCGGTTGTTCATCCATCCATAGTTTAAACTTGTCCAGTAAATAAGATTCAGTGCCCTGTTCAATGCCTTTATTTCCAGCTGCAAAATGCCACCGCCTGTCTTTTCCCTTTGATCAAATTTTATGGCGAAACTCAAACGACTCCATTCAAGTAAATCGGTAAAATCGTAATCTATAAAACAATCATCAAAAAGAATCTTCTCCAGCTTAGGGCAGTTGGACAAGAAAAGATTCATAACCTTTCTAATTAAGAAAGCAACTTCGAACTTCTGTCTTTCCACGTCTGGCAGATTCTTACTTACATCATATGCTGTACTTGCCTGAAAACGGAGGCGCCCACGTACATTTAGTGTTCTAAGTTCACGGCAGACTCTGCCAATCTCTTCTAAGATATAAGTAAAGCATTGACTACTGGTGATATGACCAAGAATTATGTGTTTAACATGTTTCCAATTACAAACTGCATTTGCAAAACCTCCGCTCGTTATTCTTGATGTCCCAAGTACAGTTAAACTTTCAAGTCTTGGTGTTCTGTCATATGATTTCCACTAAAGAGAATAAGGTACTAATTAATCTAAATATTTTAAAATAAAGAAAGAATCTTGAATAAAATACCTTTCTGCAATGTAAAGGAGATGCTGGTTTGATATCTCGAGATCTTTTGGAATGAAAAGACTCCTTATGGACAATCTCCAATGCTCCAAAGAAATGCCAAACACATCTTTACCGTACAGTATACTCTCTAATAGCTTCATCAATTTATTATCTATATGCTTAAAGCCTGCCATTGAACTGACATTTTTAGGAATCAAACGCCGAAGTCTGAATGATCTTCCAGAAAATGAATCAACTTTTCCCGGAGCAGCCACTAGAGGACTCAAATCAAGCACATTGTGCTCCCAAAACAAAATATCAAAACAGCATAATCGCCACGAGTGACACACTCTTAAAATATTACCAGGCGAGTCACTGAAGGAAAATATTTTCTTGAGAATATGAGTATCTAAATCCTCCCATCTTCTTGAGGATTCTTCCATTATCTCACCACAAATCTTCTTCTGCTAAATTTTGTCGATCTGCAAAAGACAAGAGTTACATATTATTGTCGAACACACCACAAATTTCTACCAACATCACCATATCTTGTTAAAAACCCACAACTTTTTTCACAACATTGGATGAAATTAAAAAAAAAAAAAAATCCATTGTTTCACCCCACATTTAACCCCATTCCAAAGCCAAAACAATAAGCCTCTCTTGGCTCATATCCCTAAAAATCTCTCTCTGTATCACACAGAATTTGAATGCAGACATATTGCTTGTCGCTTCGTCCTTAAAGAGCTATTAAATTTATGCAAAAAACAATTCTATCTTACATATCTGCAAGGCGCTATTATCTAAGTAGAGCTACAATTGCAGCTTATCAATTATCAACTTAATGATTTTTGTCTAGTGCACTCCTAATCTTGAACCATAGCTACATTATTCATTGTTTCAGACAATGAGATACAGAAACTCTTACAGTTGAAGAACAATTTTTTGATTGCATACGTTTCTAGTTCCAAGTCTAGAAATAACAAACAATAAAAATCCTAAACTTGAGTCTATTCAATAAAACTGCTTTTCAATCTCCAAATTTTAACCAGTTCAATGATGAGTGACGAATTGAAAATCAGAAACTCAGTGATACAGTAATCAAATTACACCATAAAACTTCAGATTATGTAATAATTTCAGAACACGGTTGTTAAATTGCAAATTTAACATATACGCATGCGTACAGATATAAAATCCACCTGAAAAAGCCGTCAGTAACGATGCACAAGAGGAAGAGAGAGGAAAGTGATGCAGCAAATAATAGGAAATCCTAAAACTAAATGGAATCCCATTTGGCTAAGAATTCCAAAGCCATGTGGTCTGCATGAGAAAGAGAAACAGAGCTAATTGATAAAACAGTAACCCCCCGTTTTTCTCGAGAACGAGAGCGAAGATTTACAGTTTGTACATACACGCTTGATTTGCGTGAAAGGAAGAAAGATACGTTACGTGCATCACTAATTAGAATATGACACGTATTATACATATATTTGGTATGGGGTGTCTGGCCAGCTATTCCTTTTAAACCTAACCTTAGAAGTTAAACCCTAGAAAATTCAAACCCTTATTAATAGTTATAAGAATTTAAATTCAAAATTTCTTAAATAATATATCCAAGAGTCTCAAACAAATCGTTAAACTAGATAATTAATAAAGTACATTAATTTAACTTAAATTATTTAAAAATTAAATATCCATATATAACTTATAAAAGGTATAATCTGATACTATTTTAATGATATTTATATGAATATTTGGAAGGTTATTAATATTAAGTTTAAAATTTACACTCGTCTTTTAAGTGATATTCATATGAGGTCGTTGGATTGAATAAGGAATTAATAATTTAGTTTTCTTTTAATCACTCACAAAAATCATAAATCTCCAGGCAATTGGTTTGTCATCGTTTCCTTGTACTATACGTCTGCCCAATTTATTACTACTGTAGAAATCAACTTAGCCTGAGCATTGTTCTAATTGCCTATTTAAGAAAACCCACCATGAAATTAGGTTTAAAAAACACCCGAAAATTGAATCTGTTTGGGTTGAAATTCGATCTCGTAATGAAACTTATTAGTATGGGGATTTTCTTTAATTGAATGAATTCCCATGTAATATTAGTTACAGGGGAGGTTATCGATAAATTGTTTGTTATAGTTGCTTATTGCTGAACTGAATAAATTGTCACCAGAGTGTGCCAGTCATGGTAATTAGGCTGTTGGCAGGTCTTATGTTGGACAGAAAGTACGTTTGATTTGGGTGTCATTAAGCATCCTCTTCAAAAACTTAATGTATCAACAATGAAACTGTTAAAAGAGCATATTTGAGGACCAGGGTGGGCGAGGAATTTATTTGGAGCATTGGAGATCGTCTGTTGAAACCATTGAGATTCCTGGAGATATGGAAATTTCAGATGACCATCTCCTTTACATTGCTGAAAGGTTAGCAATTGTAGTCTTGTTTTAATTAGACTATGCTGCTTTTGTGACTCTCTCTTATTTTACTTATTGCTTTGTTGTAGGGCAACTGGGTTGAAGAGATTAATTCTATCAGAACCCTCACAGATAACAGGGACAGGACTCATGAAAGCAATGTGCAACTGGAAAAATTTCCGATTTATTCATCTTAAGCAAGTTAACTATAGCTACTTCAGTCAAATTGTAGACAAGATTATCCAAAATAGTTCTGCTCTTGATATGGTTGGGATAAGAATGAATGATCTTCCTTCAGGGAAAGACTCTAGGACTTCGATAATGATAGATAAGATTCTAGACAAAATGAAATATGGAAGTGGTTTCGTACAAACTAACGGATTTATCTCGGCAAGCTTCTATAACTTTGATTCAAAGGTGATTGAGCCATCTCCAGACTATGCAGGTCTATACTATTCTTATCCGTTTGAAGCAACTTTGAAAATGAAAGGAGCGGAAGGTGACAAGAAAGGGTCTAATGAAGTTCATGATAAAGCTGTTAGTGACTCAATTTTTCTTGATAATATAACAAGGCCGCAGAGAAGTGGCCCAGTTTTAGTATGTGTATTCTTTCAGTAAGTTTCATTTTCTAGATGCAGAAATTTTTTTGCAGTTTTTTTGTTGATCTATATTCTAGGGGCTTCAGATTGAGATTATTTAAATGTAAGTGCACAATTTTGCAGATGATTTTGAAGGGATGCTTGAAGAACTTTGTGATAGTTTTTTTCCTACATTTTGTAGTGCTAATAAGATCTGTGCACAGAGTCTCTTGACGACTTCAGCTTTAATTATTCAAATTTGATGCGTGTTTTCTTCTTCTTCTCTTTCAATTACTAAATACTCATAAAAGTTAATACAGAGATTGTACAGTTACATTAAGTTTGAATCTCAAATTTGACATATGTTGTTTTACAAAAGTCCAATGGCATCCAAGCTGTCAAACAACACGTTGCTGCAGTAACTGTCCCTCTCATCTTCAGTGCTACCATTGACATACGTTGTAGATGATGAATTCAACTGAGTCGAGCTAGAGGAAGGCGTAGATAGAAGCGAACCAAAGCTCATATTTGGGATTTTGCCACCATTAATGTCGGAAAGAATTGCTTGGTTTTGGGATAGAGGGTCAATCCTGTTGGATTGACTAGTACCGTAACTGTGCTGATAGCCATAGTTTGGTGTTTGAGTATATTCTTTTGGCATATTGAAACACTCTGTATTATCCTGAATAAAGTTTGGTGGACAATTTTGCCAACTAAAGCTATTGGGGTCTTGAGAAATTTGTTCCAAATTGGCTTGCAAGAGTTGGGATTCATTCAGAAATTGAGGACTTGAGTCACTTTCTGGCTTTGTGTAGGTTTGAACAGGGCACTGAAGCAGATTTTGGTGAAAGGATTGTATTTGGTTGAGGTTTCCTTGAACATTTTGAGGGCTAAATTCCTGATCTCTGTTTTGGCAAGATAAGAGGGTGGTGGCTAAATTCAGAAACTCTGGATTGAAAAACGGTCCTAGACCGAGAAAGTTCGAAGCATTGACTTGGGATGGATTGCAGAGAGTTGAACTAAGAAATGAAGATAGTTCAAGAAGATCAAGGCGAGGGCTATGAGTGACTGGATCAATTCCCATTCTCAAAAGTTTCTTTTTGATGTGAGTGTTCCAATAGTTCTTGATTTCGTTATCAGTTCTTCCAGGTAAGTGAGAAGCAATTGCAGACCACCTACAAAAGAGTAAAAAACATGAGAAATTTTATACAATAAAGTATGAAACAATTATCCACAAGAATGAAAAATAGAATGTACTCACTTGTTTCCCAAAACTTTATGCAATTGTATAATGATTTCTTCTTCTTCGACTGAAAACTTCCCTCTCTTGATATCAGGTCTCAAATAGTTTGTCCACCGAAGCCTGCAACTCTTTCCACATCTTTTGAGCCCTATAACAAAGAAATGAGCAACCCATTAATGTATTATAACAAAACCCAGAAAAGAGGAAAAAAAATGGAGAAATGAATGTAATAATAAAAACAATACCGGCATTCTTGGGAAGGGTTCTCCATTTGCCATGGCCATGATTCTGAATATAATCAACAAGTTTCTGATCTTCCTCAGCAGTCCATGGACCTTTCTTGAGTCCATTTTTGTCAGAACCAAGTGACTTTCCCATAATCAATCAAATAATTATTAGTTCAGAAACTCTACAAAGAAGTTTTGGAGCAAAGAGTGAAATGGGTTGGTGTGTTTTTAAATAGGCAAAGACAGCAAGCAAGCTCAGAGAAAAAGTGAACCAGTCAATGGGATTCGGTACCGCCCTCTTGAGCAACGTGTCTTGTGTTGAAGAAAATTATACACACAATGACGCTCTTTTCTACCTTCAATTGTTAAAGTAAAATCAATTTGGTGTCTCAGTTTCATCAATATCACGTAATCACTATGCCATTCTCAGTTGCGTCTTTGAAAACTGTTTATATTTATATAATTCTGTTAATTAAATTCAAACCAACAAAAATATCTTAAACCCTTGATAGGGGTTTTGAAAATGAAACAAAAATGTACAGAAAAATCACTTTAAATTGGTTTTGACTAAGGAATTGAATGAAGTGGCAAGGAGTGATAAGCCAGTTGAGAAATTCTTGGAGGATGACCCCGAAATGCAATGGTGTTGGCTCAATCCTTTGTTTTTGATGGGTGTCTCAAATCCTTGAGCAGGATGACACAATCAAAAATCTTTTTCCAATTTTCAATTGTTGCCCTGTATAACATTCTTACTTTACCAATACGTATTAGCTGTCACCGACTGATCATTGCCACCTCATATCTGACGATTGATTTGATCGATCGCATTGAAATTGCATGGCTCTATCATGCCCACCACACTCCATAGCCAACTTCAATAAGCTCCAACCATGCAGCCGACTCGGCTCTTATATATATATATATATACTTTTCGCTTTTCATTCCAAATCGACCTAAAAAATGGAATATAAAATCAAGAGAAAGAAACCCTGGAACATTGACATCTTCCTAACCAATGGATGGAATTGTAACAGTAGTAGACGACAAATTAAGAATGATCCTGTAACAGTTGGATTATCAGATGGGGCAAAGAGCTTTAACTGAAACCTAACTCGAATTGAAAGCACAGTGAGAATGAAGGTGGTGCTCTGAATGGAGCCTAAAGCTTTCTATTATATATGCTGTTCAATGTTTAACTGTTTGATAGTCAAAAACAAGTATAATATTTACCAATTAAGCTCAAGAAATAATCGAAATTGGTCTTGGGATAATCGATTTGACTCCAATGACTAATGTGTTTGCAGGTGTATTTTCATGGCATTTACCCATAGAATCAGCTGCATATGTCACTTCAAGGAGTTTGAAAAGAAGACTTTTCACTGTTTGGCTGTCAACAAAAGTTTGGGATTGGGTTGAAATTTAAGGTAACAGTGAATAACGTTTGTGATTGAAAGAAAAGAAGAAGAAGATGATGATGAGCGTTTTCATGCATGTGATCTTATTTTGACTCATCTTTTTTATTTCAAACCAGGAACATGAACCTCCATTTCAGGCTTTCAATTCATTCTATATATATTTCTATCAATTTGCTCCTTCAATTTATGCACAAAATCATGGGATGTTCAAACCTTACAAAACTTAAAATTACTTCTCACAAATTACTCCTTGAATAAAGCATACTCCATATGACAAATTAATATAAGTAATTTTAGATTTTCTCTTTATGCAAAATGGGCATAGTAGTCGAGGCTATCCTATAAAGAAACGAAGAGGAGATCTAACATCGTCTTTTAAGTTCGAATCTCCTTAAAGATATAGAATAAGAGAAGGACCTAACATGTATGATCTCTTGAGTTATATTCGATCGATAGTTTTAAGATATCAAAGAATTAATCGAAGGACAGATAAACCTATCCAAACACCTCGATTATTTAAAAAAAAAAAACATATAATTAATGCTGGTCGTTTCATCACCTACATGAGTGGTTACAATTATTAGTCTTGGTCAAAGTTACAGTGAATATGAGAACAGTACTTATAAAATGACTCCATTATAAATATAGCATAGGGAAAAGTGCTAAACACGAGTTAGAAATTCAACAACATAATTAATTAACGAAAGTGAAAGCTGAAAAAATCAAATTAATTCGCTATTCAATTTCCTTAATCATCAATTATTGAATGAAATTATGAAATTAAGTTAGAAATTCAACACCATAATTAATTAACGAAAGTGAAAGCTGATATAAATCTAAATTACTTGTGCTAGAAAACAAAACACGTGGCCATCAGTAATGCCACCCAATTGAACTTTTATATTAACTTAACGAGTAACCGACTTTTTCCCTCCCAGGTTTGCCTTAATGGCATTTTTTGATCCGAAAATTTTCAAAATGTCATTTTCCTATACAAAGTATATATTCCGTAACTATCTAAATCTGATTTCGACGATAAAATTTTTTTTTATCACTACAACTTGAACCTCTAGCCTCTTCTTTATAAAATCTCTCTCACTCTAATATCTAATTTTTTATTGATTATCGTCTACTGTAAAACTAAGGATTTTTATTCTTAACTGATTTTCGACTGATTATGATAACAAATATTTAATCGGTCATCACGATTTGATTTATTAAATTTTACTTTATAAAATCTCTCTTACCTTGACTTTTAGTAACTTGTTGAACATCGACTGAGAAAATAAAATATATTTTAAATATTAATAGGATATAAATTTTTTATGAAGAAGTGATATTTTAAAATTTTTTGGATGAAAAAAGATTCTTTTACTCTAATGTAATTCATATATATTATTAAAAATAAAATAACCCTATTACATGTCCAGTGTGAACGATTTCAAAATTGGCACGCATGTTTATATTGAAGAGTTAATAAAGAAGTAGCCATGGCTTCGTAATTGGCTTCAGGTCTTGGCTCATGGGACGCCTAACTTATTATTATTATTTTTCCCACATGATTTTCGAAAAGAAATATAAAAGAATTCAATAGTTGGTTAAACAATCCCTTTCGGATAAGCCTGCGTTGAATTTTTGTTCCACACAAACGACAACACTATAGTCAACTATTTATTTAATTCATCAAACTAAGATACTCACCTAAGTTTTGTCGTGATTTATGATAATATTTTCTATTATCCCTTCAATTACAAAAATTGATTACAACAAAGATTACCACATTAATCTAGCCAAAAGATAATACATTAGAAAGAAGGAACCGAAACGGTGGACAAACTAATATGAAAAAAGAAGAAAGAAAAACGTACAGTGAAGAGATCTGTGTCTTTGAGACGATGAATTTGAAGGTTTAGTTTGGGTTTGATATTTGGCCATTTTGTTGCTGCTGATTTCTTGGAATTATTAGCTTCTTTTCTTTCACCCATTTTTCTCCTCTTCGTTCCCGTCCCTGCATCTGCCATCCAACTTAGAGCTTCTTCTGTCTTTCTCCCCTTTTTTTTTTTTTTTTTTTGCTAAATATAGGCAAACCGCAAACCCATATTTATTTATTTATCCAAGTCATAAAAGCCAACTATATTATTTTATACGACATTTTTTTGCTAAAATATGATTAAATAAAAAAAAAATCTATTGAAGAAAATAAATAATAGGAAAATAATTTAATACATATTTATTGACTTCTAATAAAATAACCCAAAAAAAAATTATTTGGGTTTAAAGAAATTTCTCAAGTGAAGTGCTGCCAACGATCTTATTTGATGATTTTTTTAGAGCAAATGACCCCGAGGTTTGCCTTAATGACATTTTCGCGTCCAAAAAGTTCTAAAATACTACTTTTCCACCCAATGCATCCAATGTTTATATCTTGTTAAATACCCAAAATATATTTCGCTCTCTCAACCAGTGATCGGCAAGTTACTAGGAGCCAAGGTAAGAGGAGATTTATAGAGTAGAGGAAGGTGGATCCAATGGTGGTGACTGATTGAATATTTATCGCCGGAATCAACCAGAATTCAACTAAAAATACGAAACCCTAGCTTTGCAATAGCCAGCAATTGACGAGAAATCAGGTGATGGAGTGAGAGGGGTTTCGTAGAGAGGAGACCAAAGATTCAAATGATAGTGTGAAGAGAATTTTTGTTATCAGAATCGGCTTTGAATAGTAACAAAATATTAACTTTGAGAGGGAAAGTGATATTTTGAAACTTTTTAGGTAAGAAATGGTCATTTAGACAAACCTTGGGTGGGAAAAAGTTGTTTACTCTTTTTTTTTTTTTTTTTTTAATGTAAAGTTTATTGTATAACACTTATGAATAATTTTATATAAATAAAATTTGAGGTGATTGCATATTTGCATATGCATAAATGCCACATTGATGCAAACTTTATTGAGTTAACGACTTTTTCTCACACAAATAATGATTTAATTACATTTTTTAACTCACTGAATTTTAAAATACCACTTTACTACTTAAATTTATATTTTGATGATGAACAGGGAGCAAACTCAGTTCAAACTATTGGGGGTTTTGAAAAAGAGAGGTCGATGAGGGTGGTAGAAGGTTGGATTTTAATGGTTAAAATTGATTGAAATTTGACTTAAGAGAGACGGTTGTGCAAACCTTAATCACTCGATTGCTGGTAATTGACAGGGTTAGCGGGAATAGGGTTTGAGGGGTTTTGGTGAATGATGATCAAGAAATGACATTTTAAAAGTCGTAAAAAAAGTGTCATTAAATCATTATTTAGGTGGGAAAAAGTCGTTTACTCAAGCTTTATTATAATTAAATGTGATATTAATCGTAATCAATGACATTAGTAATTTAATTTTATATACATAGTATTACTTAATAAAAATAAAATTTGAATACTCAAATATGATTCCCAAAAGAGCACCTATTATTATTATTTTTTTCTAAAATTAAATTTATATTTTAAACATAAAATTGGTAAAAAGACCATTGTGTAAGTATCAATTATCCAGTCGAGGCTTTATTTTTCACAAACTCCCGTTAATTTATTTCATAACTAAAATTGAAATTCTTCTTGAACTTTGCCCATTCTTGCCTAAGGAGTGGAATTGTGAAGTTCTTCAAAAGACTTTTTTGGTCGGCAAGGTGTTAGGTTATTTACGCCATTGAGTTTATAAAATGTTCAATAGATCTTAAATATTAGTCAAGATGCGCAAAAAATTATATACATAGTAAAATATCTATCAATTAATACCCGTTAAATTCATTCACAAAAACCTTTGGATATCATAGAAAATGGT